AGCCTGGGGGTGGCAGTCACACAAGGCTGCGTTGACTTTGCAGCTGCCTTGTGTCAGTTGTGAGTCTGAGAGCTTGGCCTAAAGATGTTTAGCAGGCAGAGAAAGCAACTACTGCAGTTCCTGTGCCCCTGGGCTGACCTAAGCAGTAGTCATTCATCCCCTGAAATTTTGGGCAAGTCTTTTTTGATCCCTAGACGTGCCAGGCAAGCTGTACTTTCCTGGAGGCTGACTTTCCCAGACTCCACCAATCTCTTTGGTTGTACCTGCTCATAGCTGCTCTTTTATTTGCTCTTCTAGCAGCTGCCAGTGATTTATTTCCATGACAAATATAATCAAAAATGTAAACTGAGGTGCACTGTTTTTTCCTAGAAGATTCATAGTGATACTTCCCTCATTCTTTGCAAGGGCATCACAAAACACTGGGAACCCTGGCAAGTCCTGCACGCTCCCTGTTCTTTTAGACATTTCACATCAGAAGAGCTCAGGTGCTGTTGTGTGTGGGATGTGCTGTGGTGAAGGAAGTGCAGGAGGAATTATGCTGGGGCTGCTGGTGTTGTGGATAACTTGCCAGCCAGCTTCCACCCTATTTTGAATGCCAGCATCTGTAAGAATAATATGTAAAATACCAGCAGGTAGGAGTTTCCCTTTGGAGGGCATTCTTCTTCCTGGGATGTGGCAGTGAAAGTGCTGACCCCTTGAGAGGGCTGATGAATGTTAGAAGAGGGGTGGATCTGTTGGTTCTGTTGTGTTGCACTGGAGTGAGCACCATGCACCATCCCCTGGGGCTCCTCAGCTCTTGCTCTGGAAGTTCCTGAGTGAGCATTTCTCAGCCTGTGCAGTGTCAGCATTAACGTGCCCTACCTCCAGGTGACCGTGCCTTGCAAAGTTTTACCACTGATCAAATGATTCCAGGTCTGAAATCATCCTCTGCTCTTGCTTTGCTCTTTAATGTGTAAGGATTTTTCACAGGGATGTAAAAACAAGGGTAGTGAATAGATCAAACAATGCTCAGCCCAGCAGCCAGCTCCCAATGATGGCTGGTAGCACATCCTGGGAAAGAGCACGAGTGGAAGTTACAGGTTATATACCCAATATATTCTAGGTCAGAAGTTTCATCATTGTTTTAAAGAGCTGCTGATGGTCTTTTCTGCTGTGAAGGGTCCTCTCCTCTTGGACGCTTTTTATTGATTTCAGCCCTCACTACTTCCTCTGCCTGTGAGCCCAGCAGCTGCCATGGTGTGAGAAGAGGAGCTGCTTGCCCTCTCACATCCTGTACAATCCTTTCACTGGCTTCCCCTGAGTATTTTGTTATAAGGAACAGTGATTCATCAATCTCCATACGAAGGCTATGTAGCAGTCATGATTGTACGTACCTCAATGACACCTGGTATGAAAGATTGTCTCTTTTCCATCTCCCTGGTGGTTCCCAGAAAATAAACCTGTCATATCTTTGAGGCAGTACTGACAGCATGAGAACAGATCCTGGAATATGCCTGAGAGGGTTACTGAGCAGCAGCTGCCTGTAAGTCCTTACCACAGCAAATGGATTCAAGCACTGGCACAGCTGCCCAGGACAGTGGTGGAGTCCCCATCCCTGCAGGAATTTAAAAGATGTGGGCACTTGGGAGCATGGTTTGGTGGGGGCTTGGCAGGGCTGGGTTAATGGTTGGACTCAATGATCCTACAGGTCCTTTCCAACCTGAATGATTCAGTGACTCTAAGAAAGGCTGTTCTAAACATCCTATTTCGATAACGTGGTAAAATGCCTGTATTGATTTAGGCAGTAAAGTAAAGAAGAAAGACCCATGGGGGAAGAGTGGGACTGAGATGCATTAGCAGCACTGCTGTGGGAAAACATTGTCCTTGAGACACTGAAAATTCACATTTCCAGTCTGCCTGGGCACATTTAGAGAGAAACCCATTTCCTCAACCACACACCGAGGGTGAGACATTGGGCTGGAGCTCCTGTGAGGAAACCAACCATGTTCACCAGCCAGGGCTGTGCCTGCTCCTTATTCCTTGAAGGACCAGGAGTGTCCTGAATGCCCACCAAAGCACCTGCCATCTGAAACGAGGACCTTGTGCGGCCTGGAGGACACTCAGATGTCTTGTCAGCCCTAAATACAAAGAGATCTTTTATCAGGTAGGAGAGGGAAGCAGCCACCTTCCTGAGTGCTGAGGTTTCACCTCTCTGGGATCCAGGATGAGTCAGCCAGGCACTGCTGAGTTCCACAGACCTGTTCAGGTTAATAAAATCACTGCCAGAGCCTGGGCAGCTCACAGGATGCTGTGTGGCTTCCACATTGACGTCACTGCTTCTCATTTACCCTTGGGTGAGAGTGACCGAAATCCATTACTACCTGGCAGCCACTGGGTAAAGCCCTGCAAAATAAATCAGCGTTCTGAGCAGCAAACAGGTGTCTGCAGCACAAAAGGAGCCACTCAGATAGCAGGGCACAAAGGGATTTTTCATCAGGGGAGTGAAGACATGAATGGGTCATTAGAGTGAGGGGAATTCACAGGTAGAGAGTGATAACAGGGAAAAGCAGGGGGAGATTTCACTGTTGAGGCAGTGAAGTGCTTTGAGTGTGGGGGATAGAGAAACAACCAAGGAGACAAAGAGGAGTTAAGTGAGCAATTCCACTTTATTATAGGAAAACAGGGACACTGAACAAAACTGGAAAATACATTTAAAAGTGTGAAGAGAAAATAACCTTGCCTAGTAGAAGTGACTTTTGCCACTGTGAATCTCAGTGGTCAGGAGTGCTGTGGGGCTGGAGGAAGGCACAGGCACCTGCATCAGGAGGGGAAGGCCCAGGTACACTCAGGAGAACACAGTCCCTGGTATTTCTGCCTCTGTGGAGGGTATAGAGACTTCCAGGCAGGACCCTGGCATCAGCTCATGAATTCAGAGAAAATAATTCTTCTCTGGGATATTTTAAAATATGGATATCTTGCATCTTTGACTGCATCACTTGATCCTGTCCTTTTTCAGAGCCAGGCCACCACTGGGAATGGAGCTGGTCTGGCACCTCCGTGGTCCTTTCATTGTAGTTTATTCAGGGCAGGATTAAATACACAGGTCAGGGCAGTAGGGGTTACAATATTGTGTTGCATTTGGTCTGGGGATAGAGAACATCTTTTTACAGACATGGAATCAGTGGGCATTCAGAGTGAGCTTTTGATACTCCTCAGTCTGACACATTTTGCCAGCCCTAAAAATACACCTTGAAAGAGAAAATAAAATCTCTGCAGGTTTTTCTCCACAGTTACTAAAAGATCAGGCAGTAGGTACACTCCTATATCACCTGCAAAAATGCAGATGTTCTCATCTCTGAGAATTTTAGCACACATAAAAGCCATAAATCTGGTTAGTTGTAATGTCTTGTTCGTTCATATAAAGAGAATACAAATTGTGGATGGCACTGCCTGGTAAGGAGGAGTCTTTCACTTCCCAGGCAGATCATTGTTAACATGAAATGCTATTGAGTGATCATTACAAGGGTTAGGTTGAATGGCTATTTTCTTGTCTCTATTTTTTATGCCAACAAAAGGTCCCCTGGAAGGCAAGCAGGATATTATATGAAACTTGGATTTCCTTAAACATCTTTCTCTTGTTCAGTAATAATAAAAAAAAAGCCCCCAGAATCCTTTAGATTCAAAATCCTCTTGCAGGGACACTGCTGTGTTCAGTCTGGGCTTTGCTAGGAGGACAAACCTGCTGTGCCAGGTTCTGGAGCACAAGTGGCTGGGCATGGGCTCTTCTGGCACCAGGAGATGTTGCACATCCCCTCTCCCCTGGCATCGGGCAGGGAAGGGGCTCATCTCTGGTATCATTCCAGCCTTTTGGATCTTTATTGTACATTTTTTGCCTCCTACCTGTGGCCTGGTCTGATGTGTTTTCTCTTAGATCTTGGAGAGAAAGGTCTCCTTTGTGCATCAGATCCAGTGCTCAGAACAACAGAATGCTCAAGCTTTACTGAAGTCTTTCAATGCTAACAGAATAAAAGTATACAATTTATTTATCAAAGTCTCCTGTAAAGGAGAAGATGGACGAAATAGGTTTTAACCTACTTGTGATGCTCAGGAAAAGCAAGCACTTTGATTCGCTCCTTTCCAGACAAACAGCATTGCATTAGTTGTTTCTGATTTTATTAGCTATAAACCACTTTCTATTTTTATTTTCACATGCCATTGACTTTGTTTGGTACAGACACAGCTGAACTAGGCTGGTTTTTCAAGTGCAAATCATGTTAATAGATGCCCAATTCATTCCACTCCACACACAGGAGGACTGCTGTAAGAAAGAGAGTAGATACCCCCAAATATTTTTTCCTGTTTCATTTCCTACATCACCTCTGAGGCCACATTATCCCTTCTGAATTCCCAAATGTGGAGTGGTGATGGTTGCTTTAGTACTTCTGGCATGGTCTCTTTACATAAGGAGAATTTATTTGCGTGGAGGAGTGAAACAGGACAAGCAGACAACGAAACAGCAAGTGGCAAAGTGTGTGAAATTCTCCATTTACTATCACTTTTTATGATGCTCTTTCCAGCTTTTCTTCACTGCTTGCAACTACAACTGATGGATTTGGAGCACAGAGTGCCTCTTATCACTGCTCTTCATTGGCAAGTGTGAGCAGCAGCAAGCAGTCAAATCGTTGCTGTATCCAAACAGCATCTCTGCATTCAGGGATGGAGCTGCAGGGAGAGCTCACTCGTTGGGAACTTGATCTGTCTAATTATGTGACTGTTGACTGGGCAACGGGCTGCACATCCAGTTGTCCCCAGCAAAAATAGTTTGTCTTAAAATTTCATCTGAGTTAAAATGCATCATCTTTTTATCTCATTACCTGTTTCTTTCCCTGTCACAGCATTTTTGAACTGGTATCGAGAGTTATTAGAAGAAAGCTCTTTTCCATCATTAAATACTGGGTTCAGATAGATCTCTAGAGTCCTTAAATGCAGATGAGGGTATGGCTGGCACTTCCTGAGCAGAATTACAAGGAAGTGTTCTCACTGGAGACGGTATTCAGAGGTGGATGCTGGCAGGAGTTCAAGTGTCCACACTTGTTCTTATGGCCATGACTTCCCTGACATCTCCTGTCCATGGAGGGGGTGGTGGGGGATCCTTTCCTTGCAGGCTCCACTGCACTCCGGTAAGTGAGCAGCTCTGGGACTGAGGAATGAGCTGTCCCTTCAGTCAGAGAGAAGTTAAAGAGAGAGACCATCCTTTGGTGGTATTTGCTCTTCATTTCCTTGGCCGATCTGTAGAGGTTCCCGACGAAGCAATAGCAAATAGGGTTGAGGCTGGAATTGGTGAGGCCAAGCCACTGGGCAAAAGGTCTGAGCTGCAGGATCCAAGGAGAAGGAGTCACATCCTGCAAAGATTTGGGGATGTTGAAATCAATCCAGATGTCCATCAGGTAGACGGGCAGCCAAGAGATGGCGAAGAGCAGGACCAGGGCCACCACCATCTGTGCCACCTTCCTGCGGATCTTCAGCCTGGAGGCGGGCAGGGATCGGTTCAGGACAGAGCTGTCCTTCAGCTGGCTGCTGCGGCTCCACAGCCGGCGCACCGTCAGGAAACAGATCACCATGTTGAACAGCACGGGCAGGCAGTACAGGGCACAGAAGAGCAGGAAGTTGTAGGCTTGCTTGAGCCTCTCCTGAGGCCAAATCTCCCTGCAGATGGAAACCGCCAGGGGCAAGCCCTCCACCACCCCGATCTCATCCCGTTTGTTCATGAAGATGAGGGGCATGCATATCCCTGAGGACAGCAACCACACCACCAGGATGGTGCTGAGGATCCTCTTCTGGGTGAAGAAGGAGCGGGCATTGAGCGGGTTGTGCACGCTGTAGTACCGGTTCACGCTGATGACGGTCAGGCTGAGCACGCTGGCAGAGACAGAAACAGCCTGGATGAAGGGCACTGCCCGGCACAGGAAGTCCCCGTACACCCAGGCTTTGTAGATGAGGTTGCCCACGGTGATGGGCATGCAGATGCACACCACCATGAGGTCACACACGGCCAGGTTGATGAGGAGGCTGCGGGTGGCGCTCAGGCTGGACACCCGGCTGCGGCGCTTGCGGGTCAGCACCCTGATGGACATGATGTTGCCCACGAAGCCCACCACAAAGGACACCAAGTACATCACTGTGAGGCTGATGGTGACAGGCTCCTTTGCAAAGAGGAAGAGCATCTTCTCCAGCTCTTCCCAACCCAGCTCCTGGCTGCCATTCCAGAGCCCTCCTTGGGTCTGGTTTTCGTCCTGCCAGAGCTGCAGAAGGTCAGGGGGAGCCCTGGGTTCTAGGGGAAACGAATCCATGACTGAGTCCCCCCCGGGCAACCTGGGCTAACGGGGCAGAGCCTTCTGCGCTGCTTTCAGTGCTCCGGACATGGCGAGCTGGGATCAGCCCTGCCTGCAAGAGAGGGTGTGGAGAAGGGGGGTCAGCGGGGGCTCGGGGCAGCGATCGCCGTTCACGGGGAACTGCCGGGCCAGCAGTGCCTTATCCGCAACTTAGTTGAGAAGCAGCCGTAGCGCGGGGCGGCCGGGCTGGGCATCGCGGCACCGACACCAGCACCGGCACCGGTCCGGCAGCAGCGGCGGGACCGGCGGGAGCCCCTGCCCGGCCGCGGAGAGACGGCGTCTCCATTGGGAGGACAGGAAAGGAGCCCCGGTCCTCCCGCACCCCGAAGAGCATCCCCGGCCTCGATCCGCAGCCACTCCCCCGCTCCCTCAGTCCCTCACTCTCTCCTTCCCCGGAAAGTTGCGTGTCCCGCCGTCGCGCTGCCGGACCCCTGTACCGGGCTGCCTCCAGGCCCCCGATCCCTCCGGTTTCCCCCGGTTTCCCCCGCTTCCCCCCGCTTCCCCCCGGTTCCCCGTCTCTCCCGCGGTCCCGCTGCGCGGCGGCACTCACCGGGCGGAGGGCGGGCAGCGCCGGCCGGGCTCCTCCCGCCGGCAGCTCTGCCGTGGATGTGCGCGTGTGTCCGCGTGTCCCCGTGTCCGCTTGTCCCCGTGTCCGTGTGTCCGTGCGTGTGCGCGGCGGCAGCGCCCGACCCGCTGCCACACGCGCGTGCTCGCACCCACGCACCCACCGCACCGCCAGCCCCGCGCACACCCCGCGGCGCGCACAGGCTGAGCACCCCGCACACACCCCACAAAACACCCCACAAAACCCCGCACACAGCCCCGCACACACCGCACACACTGCACACCCCGCACACAGCCCACAAACCCCGCACACAGCCCTGCACACCCCGCACACAGCCCCGCACACCCCGCACACAGCCCTGCACACCCCGCAC